TGCCTTCTTGACATATGTATTCTAGAGAAGCAATTTTCACCCTTTTTGTTGATCTTACAGTAAAAAAATAGGTATAATTTTGATTTATTTATAAAAAAAAATAGTAATTACTTACCCTTTTTGCTCCAAAGTGATTTTACAAAAACATCAGGTGCCCATACTTGTATATAAGGCTTTCTGGTACCAGGAATTAACCAGTCAGATGCAACCTTATTATGCGATGTGACCAATAAGATGCAACTTCTGTTATATGACCTATGTATTTATGGTTCAAGACAGGGCATTCCCACTGCACGGCTACTGTTATGTTGGCTGTTGTCATTTTTTAACTTGACAATCTAAAGGAAAAGAAGTTGGTACCCCTGACTAAATAGTCAGGTATTGCATGTTTTAAAAATTCTTGCAGCACACCCTTGAAAATCACTGTTCTAGAGCAAAGATTCTCAAACTTTACAGTGCGATCGAATCACTGGGAGGACTTGCTAAATCATGAATCTCTGGGCCCCACACCAGACTTTCTGATTCAGTGGGGCCTGAGAATTTGCATTTCTAACAAGTTCCTAGGAGCTGCTGCTATGGGACACCCTTTGAGAACCCCTGGCACAGAGGATGTGTTTGCAGTACTGTAGGCTCATGTTGATCTGTGTCAACGCCGCTGATTCTTCCAGTCCCAGTGAGGAAGGAGATGGCGGTGGTAAGGCCCTGTCTCCAGAGTGTCCTTCTCACTCTGCAGTGCCTCCGAAGCCTGGCACCAATCAGGACAGAGGGAAGAACAACAGTGCTGACCATGAGTACCTTCTCGGTGCCCCATCCTTAGGCACACTTGCCAGACGTAGTGTCTAATCTTCTTTCAGAGCAACTGCAAGGAAAGTATGATTTCCCCCATTTTGTAGATGAGGACACTGAGGCCCAGAGAGCTTACATAACATGCTCTGGTTCTCCAAGCCAGTGGGTCACATATCGGGGATTCCAAGCAGGACTTTCCGGCTTCAAACCCCATGACTCAAGTTGCGACTGACCTATAGTTGAGCCCTCAATGGGACCGTTTCTCATAGCTGTTTCCTCTGTGGTGAGCCACTAGCAGCAGGGGCTAGGGTTTGTGATGCTCAAGCACAGCAGAAGTGGAGAGGCTCAGATTGCAGTTTATAAGGGAGAAAGCCAGACCGGAGTCTAGTGGGGCTTGAGAGCTGAGACCCAGGTCTGCAGTGTGGGTGGAAATAACTACTGGTCCTTCCTGTAGGAGCTGTATCTAGAGATCGTTAATATTATTATTTTTTTCAAACGTAGAAATTTATGGGAGTGTTTTAATTGACTTTTGTTATAGGTTGAATGCATTGAGAATTTGCATAATGTGTTTCAAAGTAAATGAAAAGCCAGTCTTCTCCACCCTCCTGAAGAAGAGTAGGCTGCAGCATGATCTCTAGCTAAGACCAGAGAAAAGGCAGCTCAGTGCACTGCAGAGGGAGCCGGGGAGGTTGGTGCTGAAGCGCCCAGTGCCCGGGCCCCGCCGCGTTGAAGAATGCTGCCTTCTCCTGCACTTCACCACACCTGTCCACTCCCTGCATGTCCCCTGTAGCTCCATGGAGAAGGACTTTCAGAGACCTGTGCTTTGGCATAATGCCTTCGCCTTCTATCAAGGGTTAAGAATAGATAAATGGTGTAAGAAAAAGTCTCTTCATTTTCTATGAAGCTAAAGAAGATATGTCATCTCCGTATCTCTACAAGAGTCATACAACACATTTCTCTGTTCCTCACTATCAAATTGTGCCTCTTTCTTGTTGACTTGGTGTGTTCCTTTATTTCATTGAAGGACTGTAAAATCCATCACTTTGCTCTTTTTGCCTATGTTACCAGGAAGCTCAGCGGTATAGTAGCGTCCCTGAACCTAAGGTTCTTTGGTACTAACTTACCATTCTTTTCTCTTAAACCTTTTGTTACCTGTGTCGTCTTTTATAAGCTTTCCAAAATAATTTCTAAGAGTAGGTGGATATCTCAGATTAATGAGGGAAAAGTAAATTTTCAGAATGGAAGGGATAACTTTAAGGTGGTTGTTTTTTTTTACTTTTTTTTTTAAATTTTATTTTACTTATTTTTGTTACAGATGTTTCTCTTTTTTCCCCCATTGACACCTTTCTCCCCCTCCCTCCCGCCCTCTCCCCAGCTTTGTTGTCCATGTCCATTGGTCATGCATACATGCATATAAGTTCTGTGGTTTATCTCTCCCCCACCACCTCCTCTTTTGGGGATTGTCAATCTGTACCCCACCTCTACGTCTCTGGGACTACCCTGATCTTTAGACTGTTATGTTCATTGTATTCCACAAATCAGTGAGATCATATGATACTTGTCTTTCTCTTTTGGGCTTGTTTCACTTAGGATAATACTTTCCAGGTCCCTCCATGTCGTCTCAAAGGATAAGAAATCTTTCTTTCTTACAGCTGCATAGTACTCCATTGTGTATATGTACCACTGCATTTTTATCCATTCATCTACTGATGGACATTTGGGCTGTTTTCAGATCTTAGCTATTGTAAATAGTGCTGCTATGAACATGGGGGTATATTCTTTCTGATTGGTGTTTCAGGCTTCTTAGGGTATATTCCTAGAAGTGGGATCACTGGGTCAAATGGCAATTCAACTTTTTTTTTTTTTTTTTTTTTATCCTCACCCGAGGACATTTTTGCATTTTTTGTTCAGACATAGCGGGAGGGAGAGAGAGGAAGAGAGAGGGAGAGAAACATCGATGTGAAGGGACACATCGAGTGGTTGCCACCCGCATGACCAACCAGGGCTGGGGACAAACTGCAACCAAGGTACATGCCCTTAGCGGGAACCGAACCCGGGTCTCTCCGTACTGCAGGCCGACGCTCCAACCGCTGAGCCAAACCGGCCAGGGCGGCAATTCAATTTTTAATTTTTTGAGGTAACACCATATTGTTTTCCATAGTGGCTGCACCAGTCTGCATTCCCACCAGCAGTGTATTAGAGTCTCCTTTTCTCCACACCCTCTCCAACACTTGTTGTTTGATGATTTGTTGATGGTGGCCATTCTGACAGGTGTGAGGTGGTACCTCATTGTTGTTTGAATTCGCATCTCTCTGATGATTAGTGATGTTGAGCATTTCTTCATATGTCTCTTGGCCATTTGAAGAGTGAATTGAGCTAACCATTAGCATATGTTTGAACTATTACATGTCCAAAAACATGTATGACCTTAGTGCCTTCAGATGTATTCACTTATTCTTGTGATTAAGAGAATGAATTTGGGACTGAGCCAGACCTAGCGTCGAACACTGGCTATTCACTGATTTTGCTTCATGATTTAATGTTTCTGGGCCTCTGTGTCCTCATCTGAAATGGGATATAGTGACACCATTCATGTTCATTAAAGAATTAAACAAAACAATGTATGTAAAGTGCCAAATGCAGTGCCTGGCACATAGTAGGTCTGCAATAAGTGGTAATTACTTCTATTGCTATTGTTGTGTCCAGCACAGGCTAGACTTTATAGAAAGACTGGACTGCACATTTGCAACTATCCTAGATTTTTTCTAGAATGTGCGCTGTTGAACCAAGATGACCTTCTGCTTAAAGTTAGGGTGGTTCACCCGAGGAGGGCTGCCAAGCCATGCTTCTCCTTTAGCAAGAGTAGCTCCATGCTGGTATTTCTTACTAACTCTCAAATGACAGGAGAGGCCTCAAGACTTTCTGAGGTCATCCACTTAGGGGTTGGTGACTAAGACTTTACACAACTCTGAGGTCTCTATCTCCTGACTTATTTGAACATGCTTGCCCAGAAAGTCCCCTAAACTTCATCTTCTAGTTTTGGCTGGCTCTTGATTGATTTTATTAGACTATTACTCTGTTTTTTTTCCACTTATGACTAATTGCCTGGGGGAATTTTTTAGGGAGAGGAGGGTTAAAATGCTGCAGTGCTCTGGCCGGTTTGGCTCAGCAGTTAGAGCGTCGGCCTGTGGACCAGAGAGTCTCGGGGTCAGTTCCCGCTAAGGGCACGTACCTCGGTTGCAGTTTGTCCCCGGCCCCGGTTGGGGTTGTGGGTGGCAGCCAGTCGATGTATCTCTCTCACATCAGTGTTTTCCTCTCTCTCCCCCTCCCCCTCTCCCCCTCTCACTCTATCTGAAGATAAGTGCAAAAAATGTCTTCGGGTGAGGATTAAAAAAAAAAAGCCACAGTACTCCATGTGGCCATTAGGCTACCGTTTTGCAGGCTCAGGAAGTGAGAAGGAAAGTACCCATTACCTAGACGCACGGGGTACCATGGCTGGCAAAGTCTCAGGGCCCAGCAGGAGCAGTGCCTGCGGACCAGGCCTGGTTCTCGGGGTCCTCCAGCCTCACCTGGGACACCGGGACAGGTGTCCCCTCTTGCAGAAATGTGTGCACCAGTATTCACACAATGCTGATGTTCCCCACCTCTGCCCTTCGCTGCCAAAACAATTGTTTAAAAGAGGAAGCTCTTTGGGTCATAAAATGTCATCAGATAGTTAGTATATGGTTATGTAGACACACTGGATTATACAGTAGCCTGATTGGCAGGAAGTAGGTGATTCATCAGGGAAAAAAAAAAAAAAGATGAAAAAATAAACTCTTACCAAATGAACTTCCTCTTTCAAACTCTTTTTGTTCCAGCTCATTCTTTTAGATCCTTTTCTAGCCTCTTAGAAAAAAATAATAATAATAACGAATAGGGACTAGTGCAGTGTTTCAAAGAGAGGTAATCCCAGCCCTGCATAGCTAAATGCTTCGTTTTCCCCGTAGTTAGAAAGAGCAAGGCCCATGCTATGCTCTCTGTCCCGTCAGGCCTGGGGCGGGGGGGCTGTGGGTACCGCCTAGAGGACATGGAGCCTCTGCCAGCTTGATAGAGGTCGTGTTCAAACCGAAATATCCCCAAGGCCTGCAGGGGGGCGTTTTGGATGCGCTTGTGTCCCCCCTTCGGTAAAGCATTCCATTCACTTGATTCCTTCCATTCTGTTTGCCTCGCAGATCCAGGAGGCTGCCGGCCGGGGCCTGAAATTCGTGGGTGTCATCCCTCAGTACCACTGCCCAGTGAACTCAGCAGGCAGCAGTCCCCTGGTGGATGCCAGGGGTGCGGAAACAGAGCCAGGCGGGGGTGGGAACAAGAAGAACCCAGGTGCTCCAGCAGGGGTGGACGGAAGCCCAGAGCCAGACCAGGGCCCAGCCGGGGAGACACCCATTGCCAAGCAACCCAGCTTGCCTTTGGAAGAGGAGGACGGTTCAGAACTTCCCAAGACTCTGGATGGACCGGATGGCGACCCGTCCGAAGTGCATGGGGATCCACTCTCGGGAAGTAAGTATGTCAGTGCAGGGACTTCTGATCCATGGGAAAAGAGGCTAACAGCTTTTCAGTAATCCCATGGCATTTTAGGAAAAAGAAACGGAATTTGAGTGTAGAGACAGCCATCTGTCAAACAGGAGAAACTCCATCAAGCGCTTTTCTGGGCCTCCTGACTGGGGACTTTCTGAAGTTGTGACTTCCGGGGGAGCAGAACCACATGAAATTGACTTGCAGATGCTCCAAATGTCACGTTTGAAGTGGATTCTCGAACGCGAGTTATTTCATCCCGGGCTCTTGCCCTGCCCTTGCACCCCCTCCCCCCAGCACAGGAAGCGCTGTCGTGCCGGCACCCGTGCAGAGCGGATGCTCCACTTTGGGTTCGCTTATTTTGAATATCTGCCTAAAGAAAGAAATCAAGAAAGCCAGTTGAGGACAAATCGTGCAGGAAACTGGTGATTCAACTCACTAGGCTGGAAACAAGCAGGTTTGAGGGAGTTTATCTAGTTGACAGATCGGCACCGTGGAGAGACCTCTGCCAAGGAGAGGCCACCGATATGTGCGTCCTCTTAATCACATAATAAGGGCCACTGGGGTGTGCGCTCCGGGTTGGGGGTTTCCAATAACACAGCCACAGTGAGGGAAGCTGACATTTATTAATACTTCCTGTGTACCAGGCCCTGAGCCGATAACCGTGTTAGCTGCCTGATCTGTGATTCTCCCTGCAGCTCCAGGATCTGGGTGAGCCCTAGTGTCACCGCCCGTTTTACAGCTGAGTAAAGGGAAATTTGGAGAGGACACCTTTGTCCAGGTTGGAAATTGGCAGATCTGGCGTGGGAACCCCAGGCAGGCTTTGCCGCCGTCCCAGCTCACCTCTCTGCTCGTCTTTCCGGGGTAATCCTCTCACACGCTGACAAGGTGTCCTGAGGTCCTCCGTTCACAGACAGTGACCTTTCTCCTCATTGCCCCATAATTCCCTCTCCTCCTCTTTCTCCGGGAAGTCTAGCGTCCAGCCGATCCTGAGAGCCAGGTCCTGCTGTGAGCCGTGTGGCCGCTTCCAGCGTCCGGAAAGCGAATTAGTAACAAGACTGGCCGGAGGAGACCCCAGGCCTTAGGAGGTCGTTCTCTTTCGCCTTTCTGGGTCATCTCCCTGGTTAATGTTATTACTTATTTACTAATTCTTGAAATTAGCCTTAAATAAATGATGAAGACTCGTCCATGCTTTGAGAAGGGAAGAGGAGGTGAAATTGTTTCTTTGGCTGTGTCAGTACTTCCCGGAAAGAGAACGGTGGGTGGTTCGTTCTGGGGACCGGTCTGCGAGGCTGGTTGAGAGGAAGAGGGTGGCACTGGCTGTCCTTGGATGGGTTTCTGTTTATTCGAGGCCTGCACCCCTCTTACATGTGGACCGAAGCAGAGCTCTTCATGGGCTTCGCTGTTTGAGGGAGACTTCTGCTCCCTCCAGGGCCGCCGAGAGCACATCGAGGCCTGGTGTGTGTGCCTCCTAATGGACGTCCAAGTCGTCGTCCCGAAACCGCCACCTGCTCAGTGCTGTTGGGCTGGGAGCGTGTGCTGTGAGTCCTGAGAAGGCAGAGGGGCCCCCTTGGAGCCCTTTTCTATGATCCAGGAGCTTGAGGGGATGAGGGTTCAAGACAGGCATCCCCCTCCCCCGCCAGGAGAAAGGGGCAGGAGTCATGGGGAGGCAGGTAGCACAGTGGTTAGGAGCCCGGATTGTGTTTACATGCCGGACTGCTACCTTCCAGCTAGGCCTCTCGGCCCCCCTTCTGCGCCTCGGTGTCACCCTCTGAAATAGAGAGAACAGCAGTTTTTAAGGAAAGGATAAATGAGATGTACATGTAGAGCCCTGAGCACTGCTGGGCTCCGACGTGTGAGCTGATGCTGCTGGGGTACAGGTTGCTTTGCTTGGAACCCTGGCTTTGAGAAAGGAGGCCGTTCATCCTGAGGTCCCTGCAGGAGTTTTCAGACATTTCCTGTTCCAGAACCCACCCTTCTCCAAGACTTTTTCCAGACCTCCTGCCTTCTGTGGTTGACCCCAGGGAGAGTTAAGTGGGGAGGTTTGTTCTAGGGCCCACCTGTCCCCAAGGTGCCTTCTGCTGCCCTATGACTGTTCACCTCCCCTGGATCTCACTGGGTGGGCGCCGTCCGACTGTTGTCCACACACGAGGCTGGCTCTCACCTCTCTGCTCAGCAGGCCACAGGCCTCTGAAATTCAGGCGGCTCACCGTTACCTTTTTTCTCTCTTCGTAGAACAAATGAGCCTTGGGGTTTTTTCCATCGGTGAGTGAACACACCGGGGCGACAGGTCACATGCACGGCCTTGTGGTGGATGGGCAGAGACCGTCACCAGAGTGGTGACCCTCCCAGTGATCCCAGCTCTTCCTGTGTCAGCTCGATTGCATCTCACGACAACGTTATGACAGGAGAGCCTGTTATTATGCCCACTTCACAGATAAGGAAAGTCAGTGCCCTTCCATGCCCTCGTGCAGTTAAATTTTACCTCATAGCTTCAGCATTCAGCCTCCTTGAAGGCCAGATGCCCAGGGACCCTGTCCGTATTGCTCATGGCCTTCATCTGACTGTGGCCTGTCTCCTAATCTTTTCCCTGGGAAGTCTTATCTTTTCCTTGCACACCCCTACTCCCCACAAGAACCCCCCCGCACACACACACACACACACACACACACAAGCCTCCCCTCTCTGCTGCTTGCTCAGCGTTCGGCTTGCCTTTCTCTCGGGCCCCCGAGGAGGGTGAAGTGTTTCCACGCCTCCTCTGCCAGGTGGGCTTAAATAGGCAATCACAGCAAGACAATTAAAAAAAGTCCTGAGGGAGCCTCCCTCCTTCCCCCCCTTTCTCCTCGGTTAATTTATTTCCTTCATAGGAGGCCGAGGGGAGCCGGTCTAGGCTGCGACTGCTCGGATAGGGCTAGCCAGTGAATTCGCCGTTGGAAACCGGGCAGGTTGCCCCTCCCCAGTCCCGCAGGCTCCAGGGAACGGCTCTGGTCCAGAGGTTATGCCATGTGCCCACTCGGGTCCCTCAGAGACCCATCGTGTGGTTTTCTTCCTGCTCATTGGCTTGTATGTCCTGGTCCAGGGGAATTTCCTGTTGGTGTGATGGCCTCACTCAGCAGACATCAGCGAGCTAGTGCGGGGACAGCCCCATGCCTGTGCCCCAGGACGCTCCCCTTTTCCAGCTCATGCGCCCCCGGCCCGTGCAACGCTGCTCTGAAGAGCAGGGCCGGCCCCTTGGAAGCATTTCTGTCCACAGGGAGCTTGTGTCCTTTGCCTCTGATGACCAGGCCAGGGGGAAGGCCGGCGCGGGGACAGTTAGGAAGGCATCACCGAATGCCCACCTGTCACTACTCTGCTGGCCCCCGTGAGCCCCGCTTGCCCTCCCCTCAGTGTCTCTGTTGCTGCAACTTCCATCACAGAAACAAAGAGGTCAGACACGTTCATGCAAATTCACATTGTTCTTGCTGTCACCGAAATAATAAGAAAATGTCTTCTAAGCCCTGCCCTTCTTACCCTGTACCCACTCGAAGTGCTCGGAAAGGCCAGCTAGAAACCGGAGCCAGTGATCTCGGTGGTGTTCTCGGCCCAGGGGTCTCAGTCAATAGGCCGCCTTGGTGGGCAGTTCGTTGTTGCGGGGAGAGAGGAGGGACCCTCCTGAGTCTGGCTTTTCTGATGTGTGTTCCCCTTCCCTCCCTGGGTCCCCAGAGTGGTTCTACCCCGTGGTTCTGCCCCCTCCCAAACCTGCCACCATCTCTCTGCCCTTTTACTCAGTCCATTAACAAACAGCGATTGAACCCCCACCCGCGGTCATCAGCTCCTGCCTTCTGTGTGCTGATGAAATTAGCCTCTTGTTAGATTTGGGAAACAGCCAGGCTTTGGGGTTTGAAAGACGCTTCGCTTTGCCACTTACCAGCTTGTGACTTCTGGAGCATCCACGTAGGCTTCTGGGCAGAGAACCCCTGGAGACCGGGAGTCGCAGGCCAGGGGGAGGGCGAAAGGCTCCTGTCAGCACAGCACGCGTGCCTGTGGCCGCTGTTATCCTTGCCAGTGGATTCCTGTGCCACGCAGGGCACGCCGTGGTGCCCACACTGTGCCCTGGCACACAGGCCTCCACCGGGCCCAGAGGTGCTGCTGCTAGTGCCTGAGCCCGATGGAAGCCTGAAGCAGCCTCCTCGCCGATTCAGGAGTCCGGACGGGCCCCAGGCCTCCGCCCTCTCTTCCCAGCATGGTGCCCCCAGCCCTGCCCTCCCAATGCAAACCCCTCAGTTCAGCTCTCCCTGCCCATGACCCCAGCAGACCTTAGCCCTCACTCAGTCCAACTACCAGGCCAGTTCTGATCCCCACTGGTTTCTTTCCATCCAGCTCACTCACCAGCCTCCTCCTCCTCCCATCTAGCAGGTGGAGCCCTGTGCCGTAAGCCAGACTCTGACCCTCTCTTCCCTGCAGCCTGGAGGTCTCCTGGAACACCAGGACCCAGCCCACCTGCTGGTACCTGCAGAGCACACTCTCTGGGGCTTTACCTGCAGTCCGGCTGCAGGCTTCCACCTCATGCCTAAGTATAGGCCCCAGAACTGGACGTCTGCCTTCGTCCCTGCTCGCCAGGAGCTCAGCGAGGCCGGAGTGGACCTGGCTGGCAGGCTGGCAGACACAGCGGGCTCCATGCCCTCTCTTCCTCCCTGCTTCCCCCACTTGTCTGGCTTAGGTGGATCCAGCAAACGTATGTTCATCGTCTGTCACATTACAGGGACTTATCTGCTCACAGAGGATCTGAATGGCACAAGACAAGGCCCCCGTGTCAGGGAGAAAGAGAAACACAACTAGACAGAGACAGAAACACGAGGCAGTCTTGGTGCACCCAACGGTGCTCTGCCAGACTAGGTCTTCAGCCAGTCTCAGAACATTCTCGGAAACAATGCCTTCCCCCTCCTTGGGGACTTTCTGTCCAATATCTGGAAAAAATCTTCCCACTGAGGTCATGACTGAGTCACAGAGCAGCTGAGAAAATGTAAACAGACCTGGGGCTGCTTTCTGGAATCCCTGGTGCCTGCTCGTGTGGGGATGAGTGTTGGAGACTCAGAATATTGAAACATCAAAGGACGTCATTCGGGGAGAGTTTCTCTTGGCTGGTTTCCAGGGGAGGAGAGAGGATCGTGGCCGCGGAGACAGTGGGACGGAGGAGTTGACTGAAGGATCTGACAGTTTCTCCTAATATTTCATTACTGTGAATGCTGTGGGGGCTCTGGGTTCCAACAGCATGTCCTGCCCTTCCTGAGAATGCACTGCTGTCCCGGCGTTGGTCCCCCACGCTGGGAGGGTCCGGGCGGGAGGGGGCCCCGTGGGCTGCACCTGTGTCGCAGCCCCTGCGGCCCTGTCCCTTCACACTGCCCGCACTCTCACTTCTTGTCCGGCCTTCCCCTTCGCAGCCGGGAAGGTGTGTTTCTGTCCGGCCAGGTGTGGGGGGGATCCTGTGTGATCACGTGTTGGCATATATTTTTGGACTCTGGCCACTTCCAAATTCCCCACTCACTTCCCCCATGCAAAAAGTGTGATTTCTTCTTTCTCTTTCTTTTTAGTTCGTTTGCATTTGTGCTTGACAATAGCAGACCGTGGTGACTGGTGCTCTGGCCCACCTTGGAGTCACCTGAGAACAGCTTTCTCAGCCTCTGGGGGGGTGGGGGGTTCCTGGATTGGGAACACGCCTGCAGGGCCAGAGGTAATATCTCAAGGGCGGTCCTCAGTCCCTGAAGATAAAGGCCCCAGCTTCCTTGCCCCTTGGTAAGGGAACCTGAGGTGTGTTCTCTACAGCATCTCAGGGGGACTGAGCCCCCAGCGGCCAGAGTGGCCTCTCATTAAAACACTTTTTTTTTTTATCCTCACCCGAGGACATTTTTCCATTTTTTGTTCAGGTAGAGTGGGAGGGAGAGAGAGGAACAGAGAGAGAGAGAGAAACATCAGTGTGAAAGGGACACATCGAGTGGCTGCCACCCGCACAACCGACCAGGGCCGGGGACAAACTGCAACCGAGGTACGCGCCCTTAGCGGGAACCGAACCCAGGTCTCTCAGGACCACAGGCCGACGCTCTAACCGCTGAGCCAAACCGGCCAGGGCTCATTAAAATACTTTTCATGGGCTTTTATCTCTTACCTATTTCCCACCCCTTCCCCCTCACTGTTTCCTGGGATCACTTCCCAGATAAACTACTTGCACCCAAAGGCTTAACAGGTTCTGCTTGTGAAGGAATCGAGGACTCATTAAAGCATTGCTTGTCCTCTGGGCCTTTGTGGCTGTGACTGTGACTGGAACCCCTGGCACCCAGGGCTAGAACATACCTGGTCATCCAGTCCGCATCCTGTCCCCACCCCAGCGCCCGCCCATTGCTTGGTTCCCCTCCGTTACAAACCCTGCTTTGCGGGCTCCATCCCTCAAGCGTGTGTTTCAGAGTCACAGAGCAGGCTGGTGATCGCCAGCTCCGAACACCGAGACCCAGTTTCTCGTGTGAAAGCACCTACTGGCTGGAGATGCTTCCTGGCTCAGGCAGGTGGACTGAGAAAGGTCATTGGGGGGGATAATGAATATAGCCGCAGGTGGTTGTTTAAAATCCAGGTGGCCACTTGTGAAGATGGGCACCTTCCTTTCCTAATTGGTTCCAGTCCATGGATAGCAGGAAATGCCCCCACCCCTGCCGCTTAACTCTTGCTGATGACAAAGGCTCGTCATTGCTCCCCAGAGATCTCTGCGGAGGCTTGCTCAGATGGGGCTGTGAAAATACCTCCTTTGTCCAGAAAACATTCCTGTGTGAGGTGGTTTTAGATGGTACACGGATGGACATACCAGGTATTAATGTGCCTCATCATTCCCTCCTGTGTACAGCACGTGGTCGTCTGTCCCTTGAGATGTGGAAGCAGACAAATGCATTTATTTGAATAAAGGAGAGTGAGGCTGTTTGTCTGGCTCGTGCAAAAAATCATGCAATACTGACACGTCACCTGCAGCATCCCTGCGTGGCGTAGGCGAGGAGTCTCCTGCCGGGGAGCATGCGTGTGTTTTGCCTTTTTTGGCGAATGTCAACCATTGTGGATGACCTTTAGAATATTTCTTTGAAAGAAGGGCAGGGATTTTCTTATTGAAGCAGATATTTTTGGAAACCAAAGCGTATTCCTGACTAACCTGGGTAAGCGGAGCTTTTTAAGTGGGGTGCACCCTGCTTGCTTGACTAAGTGAGTAACACAAAATAGACCTTCGGACTTAGATTGAAATTCCAGGTATTTGCTCCCGGTGGCCGGTACTGCTCCCTCGTGGCCACCAGCACGGACAGCAGGTGCGGGTCAGCGGCCGGGTGGCAGTGAGGATTGGTTTGTGAAGAACCGAGCTATGAGGGGAGCAACAGCGAGCTCAGCACCCCACTGCCAGCGCCTGCAGGCAGGAAGTCCTCATTTACGGGAACATATTTATTTTTACATATCATTGATGTATTTTTGATGCGCTTGATTAAGTATTATGGGATTGGCCCCAGGAAACACCACTGCAGTTTATAAATAGTGAGTTCGGGGGTGTGCAGGGTTCCTGGAATAACAGCAGTATTTTTGCTTTTATGTGCCTGTGTGCATTTGCAGTTGTTTTTTTTTAAGACCAGCTCTCACCCAAGTATGTCTGCTTTTTCTTTCCAAACACCTTTGTATGAATTTCTAGGACTCTGGGCTCTGTCCTTCTTTTAAACACCTAACTGTACAAATTAGTAATCTCAGATAACAGCAATTCACGATATGCCAGATTCAAAGCGAAGCCCCCCCTCGAAGTTCAGCCTTGGAGGTCCACGTCTGTTTCAGGGCGCTCCCTCCGACTTACCACTCGGAAGCAGGTTTTATTGGGGAGCAGTGCACGCTCCCGGAGATTTTACCTTGGGTGTCATTTCTTCGGGCTCCTGAGAGATTCCACTAGACCCAACGAGGCAGCTTCTTATCCCTGTTTAAACTCTTGTCTCCCCACCTTTACAAATCCCAACAGGAATGGAGATCTTCGCCCTTTTCAACAGACCCGAGAGCCGTCAGGAGTGCCGGCAGTACTACCCCATCACCATTCCCCTCCGGGTGTCCACGAACGGCCAGGCGGTGAGCAGTGTGGATGCCAACTGGCTGGAGCACATGAGCGACCACTTCCGGAAGGGAGGCGTGCTGGTGAACGCGGTCTTCTACCTGGGCATGGTCAATGGTACGGAACCCACGCCCTGGGGGCCCTCAGGAACTCGGCTTCTCGGTCTTGTCCCCTTAGCCCCTCTCCAGAGCCTGCTCCCTTCAGAAAGCTCCGCAGCTAGTAAACGTTTTGCGTTTGGCTTCTGATTAACACTTGTTGGGGAGTTTTCCACAGAGCCCACCACCTCTGCTCGGGAAACCTCTCGAGGGGTCGGCCCCGGAGAAAGAGGAGTGACTGTGTCAGGGGTGGTGGTCTCGATCTGTGCTGCTTTTTGAGGCTTTGAAGAAGGTTATTCCCCGGTTTTGTTAATTACCCCCTGGGATCATGCCTCTCGGAAAGTGCAAATTGTTTGTAGACTCGATTACAGTTTGAAGTAGCAGTGGCGGCACCTTGAATCAACAGCAGAGATGTGAACTGATCAGCCTGGTCCCTGTAAGCTCCACGGGGACACGTTCTGGGGCGCTCGGCACCCGAGCTCGCCCCCGCAGTGGGTTAGCTCTGCGGTGTGTTGCGTGGGATAGCACCACTGCTGTTTCGAAGGCAGAGAGGTCTGCCCGAAGCGGGAAACGTGGCCAGCAAAGGAGGGCTCTCAGGTTAACACAGAGGCAGGTGAGTCACTAGGGTACATCTAAGCTGGGAGGCGCTTTGCGGAGTGGGCCAGCAAGGCAGCGTGTGTGGGTCCTGAGGGCTGCCAGGCAGCAGGTTCCTGGGTAAGTGAAGTGTTACCTCGAATTTATTCATCCCAGCAAAACATGGCAGGTGGCATCAGCAACACGGTGTCCTGATTATTGAGTAGTTTTTCTCTCTAAGAATTAGCAAAGTCAGGGATGGAGTTTGGGTTCTACGTTCCTTGCAATCCTTGAAATGCCCGCAAACATACCCAGAGGAGACTTCCGTCTTAATTCTGGACACACCCTCCTGTAAGTCATCCGAAGCCTTAGAACACTGTACAGCACAGACAGGTGTAAACTTTGGAAGCCGTCCCTTGTTACTATCAGAACACTGATAGCTAAGTTAGCGTGACAGTATGGTAGCAGCAGGCATTGTATGGTATGGGGGTCACAACCACTGGTGCGGTGGGTGAATGACGTAAGAAAGGTGACTGGCTCATCATGAACACATCTCGGGCAGCACTGGCCATTGGAACTCCGTGCGATGGTGGGAATGTCCTCTCTCTCTGCTCTTCAATGGGGTCAGCCACACGTGGCAAATGACCAGTTGAAATGTGGCCAGGAGGGCCAAGGAATCGAACTTTAGGATTTTATTTTCATTAGTTTAAATCACAGTGGCTGTAAGTGGCTAGTGGCTAGTGCTTTGGATAGTACAGTTGCAGAATGTCCATTTCATGACTATAACCGATAGTCCGGTTCTCCGGCAGCAAGGTCAGGCCCCCTCCCTCTGCAAGGCCTTCCATGCGTGGTCGCAGAGTCCCCTGAAGCTGGGGAATGTCACATCTGCTTTGAGATGTGCCATAAACATCCATGGCATCAGCTTGGGGAAAACATCCACAGCCCCGATTCATCAGCACCTGGGGAAGCCAAGGAGGAACCGTTCACTTCCTGCAGGGACACGCCATCACACGTCTCGGACTGTGGTCACATCAGCTCCTTTTATCTCCTCTTGGTGCCCACAGAGGCCGTCTGTGGCTGTGCATAGTTTTAAATTTCTCCTTGGGAAGCTGATGGTTAGTTGTGCTAACATCTTAAGCTGTGCAGGGAGGCAGGGAGGTAGCAGCCACACAGACAGCCACTGGCATCCCTCCCCCACCTTAGGAGAATTGGGGAGTCACAAGGGAAGTTTTTCTCTTTGGTTTTACTGCCCGAGCATGTCAGGGACAAGCTGAACCCCAACAGAGATCACCTTGAAAGTTTGCAGTGGCGTTCATTGTCTCTCTAGCCGTTGTGACCTTGGCAGTCAGGCTGTCTCCTCCACTTCTCCTCGCCCCATTCTCCGGCCGTGAGTCCAACCACACAGCCTGCTCTTCAGATTTGACTCGGGTGTTTGAAATGCTGGGATATCCTCCCTTGGCTGTAGCTGCGTTAGATCCGGCCTTGAAGACAGAACGTGCAATTTCCCCTGGCAAGTGCAGTGGTGAGACCCCACTCTGCGCCTGTGACACCGGTGCGCGGGGCTGCCTGCGGCGGGGGCTCCGCCAGAGCACACGGCTGTCGCTGGGACGGCTGTGAAATTCTCAGAACAAAATTAATTCAAACCCGCTCACAATTCAAACCCGCCTTCACCGTGTGTTCCTGATGGGAGGGAGAGTGTGACTCGGGAATAGTGCTTAGTGGGTTAGGGCGTTTCTGCTCTGGAAGAGCCCAAGGTTTCTGTTGGCCAGGGATGAAATAGGCATGTGTTCTTTTCCCAGAATTGGGGCGGGGGGGGGGGAGCAAGCTCATTATAATTAGAAAAGGAGCCTGCTTCTGAGAAGACAATGAGTGTCCTTACAAAAGACCTGGAAGAACGAGAGAAGCACATCTGGAAGCTGTTTGCCATCTGGAAAGGCACCTGTCTTACTCTTACGTGGATCTTTGCACTCCAAAGTATTTTCCACGGAGTCATGAAACTCATGAGAACTTTGTCCCATAAACAAGGGGATGCTTCAGCCTGAATTATCCAGTTAAGACTCCAGCTCCTGTTTCCCAGGCTCTACTCCCCAGGACATGGAAGACTCTCCCGGTCCTCAAGTTTGGGCTCCTGTTCATGTGTCCAGGGCTCCTCTCCTTAGCATGACCAAGTGTCCTGGGCTGGGGAGGCTGTGCCCTTGGGCCCTGGCGAGCGAAGGCCCAGGTGCAAGCAAGCGTGACGATGGTAGCAGCCACCCAGCTGTTCCTCTGTGCTGTTGCTGCTCTGAGCGGGGTGAACACAGCACCCCCCTGGACCCCACAGCGCCGGGAGGCAGGCACTGTTGCTGCCCCTGTGTTATGGCCACGGACACAGGCACAGAGCGGTTAAGTCATCGCCAAGGCAAGGAAGGGCCTGGGCAGGGGAAAGGGACATGAGGAGGAGAGAGACGAGGTGGCCGTGTTGGTGAGAGGTTGAGGGGAGGTCCAGGGTCACCCTCAGGGAAGAAGCAGGACCTGGGTGGCCAGCCAGTGGTGTGGGTGAGGCCCAGGGTGGTCAGACAGCAGAGCGGACAGGCGCAGAGAAACACTCCAGCTGGTGGGACAGAGGCCGGAATCTATGCTTCTGGAGGGTGGAAGAGGCCGGGAAGGGAGGCCCTCTGCTGAGCTGGCTGCTGCTGAGGCGTTGGCAGGTACCAGCGGTCAGGGTCAGGGTCAGGGCGAGGCGGAGCTGGCTGCCCACCATCTGAAGACCCACCCAGGAACTTGCTTTCTCACCAAGGCCTTCCAGGCCAGCAGAACCCCTGCTGCCGTCGTGGCCACTGAGGCTGCTGCGCCACCACAGCTCTCCTGACCCCAGCCCCTAGCCCCCCCGGCCCCTGGCCCTGTCCTTGCTCTGCTTTCCTTTTATTCTGCCCTCACCCCGTCCTGTCTCTCCTGCTCTGCTTGTCCTGCCCCTCTCCTCACTGTGCGCTCCTTGCTCTGCCCTTGGCCCTGCCCTGGCCCTCCCCCACTGCTCCTCCCCCCTGCCCCGCCCCCACCCGGCCGCTAACCCTCCCCTCTGGCAGTGCCCTCTCTCTCCAGCCCATGTTCAGATGGCTGCGCTTGTGGCCAAATCAGAATGTACTGCATATGGTGACCATGTCCTCACTTCTGTTTTACTGACTTAGAAGAGTCCTTTTTTATGAGCCTGACTGCTTGAAATAAACCCAGCTTCCCATCCTGCAGTGTCCTGCTTTCTGGCTGGTCGGTACCTCACGATGGCAGTGAGGTCTCATCTCCTCTGGTCTCTCTCTCCCGTGGAGCGGGACTCAGTTCTAAGGCCTTGGTACGTGAAGCACTTAGGACCAGAACACGTTCTAGACAGTGTTGTGTTGTTCACGTGTCCCGTCGGCAGACACCCTGCACCCACGTGTCCCCATTCCCGCCCTTTTAAAAGATTGTCTTCCTGGGGGCACTCCCGATGCCCCAGCTGCATCTGAATCCAAATAGCTTTCGTATTTACACCACCGTGTTGGCCTCCTAGCATACTACATGGCATTATATTTGCAAACTATACATGTAAAGACCATGTACGTATTTCAAATGAAATACATGTAGAGACATATGTAGGGTGTCCCAAAGAAGGTATACACAAAAGAGCGTAATTATTCGGCCAGTGTTCATTAAAATACATTTCATTTTCAAAATGTAATAGATCCTACAGACACCCTGTCTACATTTTTCTGGGACACCCTGTGTTTCATACAGACATACTTTCAAACCCTTGGACAGGTCCTGCGTCCTGTTCACCTTGGGGTCCCAGTGCCTGTCCACCGGGCCCTGTAACAGAAGGTGACCAGTAACGGTTTCTGGGGGATGCTCAGTAATGCCGATGGTGGTGAGGGAGAGGTACTGTTGTGTACGTCACCGGAGCCTGCGGGTTTGGGAGATCAGAGAGCTGGGGTTGAGGGAAAGGAAGGGAGGAAGAGTGGGGCGATTCCAGGTGGTTCTAGCAAGCACTCCCTTGGAACACTGCCATCTCCTGGAACGTTGGCCTGGTGGTTACAGGCATGGCTTCTCTCTCTGAGCAGCCCATTAATAATGTAGGGGATAGGTTTCATGCACCATGAAATGCATTTTCTCTTGGCTTCATAGCAGATCTTCACGTAAACTTTCTGTTGCACTACAGCACGTGCACAGAAAATTGCAGATCATAAGGATATATATAGCTCAGTGGATTTTCACAAGGTGATCAACGCATGTAACCAGCACCTAGATCAAGAACTAGAACCTACAAGACCCCTTTAAAAGCCCCTCTCATGCCCCTCACCGTCTCTATGTGCCAGAGGTAACCACAGTCCCTACATGAAACACCATAGGTTAGTTTTGAACATTTTTTTTCTGGTTTCATTGAGATACAGTTGACAGCCCGGCCAGTGTGGCTCAGTAGTTGAGCATTGACCCATGATGCAC